ATATGATGGTACAATCCAGTACCCACTGCGGCGCGCAGCCCGAGCCACCCATATCATTTAACGTCGACGATGCTCACTAGGGGTGTGTATAGACTCCGGAGGGGCTCCTACAGCCCAAGCACAATAACCAGCCATCTCGTAGCGAATAATCAATACCAGCCATAAAGTGGCGAAATCAATACCAGGCCAGTCCATGTTACCTGACCGATCTTATCATACCGTGTCCATGTTACCATTGTTTCCAATCACCGCTGCGGCGCGCAGCCCGAGCCACCCAAAATCATTCCAGAAAATATGTCACAAGCCCCTTGGGCAATTATAAACAATGATCCTCAGCCGAAATACAGTTAAAAGATAATATATGAGTTTTGAACATTTGAAATACGGCTGGGTTTTGAAAACAATGTTTGAAAATAATGGACTGATAGTATATGATATGCATGTCATGCCAAAACAGTAATAACAACTCCCGAAGGATGTCACAGGTCGGCACTAGGCCCCAAACACGGCATAAAGCCCAATAATAATCATCACAGTGTGCGTATCATACGCCAATATAGAATACACCTCACTCGGGATGGACCAAGTCACAATCCCCATCAATATACGACTCCGCACAAGCCTTGGAGTGTGTGTCACGCCTCAATATAGCGTTACGACGTGAAAGTTCGAGGTTTCAAACCCTCAGAACAATATTTACTAGCATTACTCACCTCTAGCCGGCCGTAGACTAGCTCGAAATGCCTTTTCCCTTCAAATTCTCCTCTACGAGTGCCGAATCTGGCCAAAACCATAACGAATATATCACATAAGGCTATTGGAACATAACCCAATCAAAAGAACTCGAAAAGTATTGAAATTCGCGAAAATAGCAAAACCCGAGCCCCGGGCCAACGTCTCGAAAATCAGAAAACTTTATACCAAAATGACCCTCGTCTCGCCACGAGTCCATACATATAAATTTCATCAAAATCGGAGTCCATATGACCCCTCAATTCCTCAATTAAAATCTAGTTGGGTTTCAAGCCCTAACCTCCATTTTTAGCTTCAAAGACCTTGATTTCTAGGTGTTTAATTCATGATTTAGCACCATAATCACATATTAGAAGTCCATTGGATCATACCTGATGAATTCCCTTGAAATCCTCTCCAAAATTGCCCCTAAATCGCCTTAGTCTGAGCTCTCTTTTCTTTCTTTCTTTTAAATGTTTAATCCCTCTGATAAAACTTAAAACCTGCTTGACTTCCGCTTAAGCGGACCTTTTCCGCTTCAGCGGTCATCGCTTAGGCGACAAAATGGACGCTTCTGCGGTCTCCTTCCATTTCCTCAGCGGCCGCTTCTGCGGTCGCTTGACCGCTTATGCGATCCCGCTCCTGCGACTTCCAAATTCGCTTACGCGGTCCCTGACCGCTTCTGCGGTCGTTCATCCGCTTATGCGGCATTTTTCCGCTTAGGCGGAAATACCAGAAGCAGAAATTCCTTTTCAGCCTTAACTCCAAAAATCCTCCGATTAATCATCCGATATCACCCCAAGGCCCCCGGGGTCCAAACCAAAAACGCAATTATGACCAAATACCTTACTCAAACTTGCTTGGGCAATAAAACACTAGCTTAAACATAAAAAATCACCATAATCATCAAATCAAAGCCTAAGACAAACATGAACTTCTAAAATTCCCATTCGATGACGAAACCAACCAAACGAAGCCTGAATAATCTGAAAATTTGCAAACATACTCAAAATCACCAAATGAAGCTAATGCCACTCTCGGAATTCCATTCCGACCCTCGGATCAATTTCTCACCTATCAACCGGATCTCTTCTAAAATCTAACTTCGCCAAACTTAGCTAACCTCCACACCGGACCTCCGAATTCACTTCCGTTTTCACTCCTAAGTCATAAATCAACCCCCGAAACTAGTCGAGCCATCGAAAATCCGTTCCGGGCCCTCTAACTCATAAGTCAACGTCGGGTTGACTTTTCCAACTTAAGCTTCACTAAAAGAGGCTATTGGTCTCATTCTTATCCAATTTCAACTCAAACCATTTCAAACTCACCAAACACGCATATCAATACACGGGGAAATACATAACGGGGATAACGGGGCTGAAATATAAGAAAAGACAGGTCGGGTCATTACAGGCCTCTTACTGAAATTTTGCTTTAGGCCTTCATATTTATTGAGCCGCCACTGACAAAATATCATCTTTTCTTCAAATAAAATAAATGTTCAAACACAACTTCAACTTTCAAATTATTTTTCAATATAATTCAATTTTTTTTTTTTCAAATTTCAATCAAATTTATGTCCAAATGCTATATAGCTTAAGATTGCTTGATAAATATATATCAAACTTTGCTTGGGCTATTTAATTTTTAGTAGTAGTGGTCCAAACTTTGCTCGTGTGCTAATGTATACTATGCGATAGTGAAGATGGCCGGACCTCCGACCAACATCAATTTCCCGATAGAAGAAATTAGGTTTTTAGTTAGATCACCAAAAAATTACAATCTTTTTGAGCTGACATGAGTATTAAAACGATATTTTGAATAATAAAAAATAGGTATAAGACACTGGTCCTAACACGAGATGTATGCCTCATAAATTTTTAATCAAAAACCAAGAAAAGTGCCAAAAACTGATTTTTGCCCAAGAATAATACTTGTATTCAAAGGCCGTCGTCATATGTAATTAATTACTTAATTAAGTAATAAATTGTTGTTTACCTAATTCCATCGCACCGATAGAGAATGTTCATCTCCTTTTCCACTCAGGCGGCTGTTACAGTATTTTATCACTACTATTAATTAATCAAGCAACAATTGCTGTTTACCTACCATTAATTATTAATTAATCAAAATAATTGAGAGCTCCTTTCAGTCTGTTTGTGTCATTAAAAACTAGAATTATGGTTTGATCTCCTCACTTATCATCTCACAGCACCTTGTGCCAAATTCTATTCATGATCATTGGTAACTTTTAATTTGTTGTTCCATAATTAATTTTCAATTCTAATCCTTGATAATTTGGTTGACCTGATCATTTCTATCACCTTTTTAAATCATTATTTTATCACCTTATATGTATTTTAAGCTTTTAATTCAACTAGTATAGTACCCGCGCGATGCGCGGATTAGGTAAAAAAAAAAGCGAAAAAAGAAAATAGAAAAAGAAATATATATAGCATTAGCCACGGGAAAGACCAAAATCCTCTTCATTATTGCATCAGTTAAAAGCGATGTGGCTTGTTATTTTTGAGACTTCATAGAAATCATATTTTTTCTTCCTTTACCAGCCTGAGCTTGAGCTCTTTCCCGAAATTAATACATTTACAAATCATTCATCAATCCCGCAAGTTCTTTTTTCACCTTTAAGATCTTTAGTATTCCTAGTTAATCCCTAGTTCCCTACATTAAACTTAGTTTTATCAAGGAAATGACAACTTTTACCATATAAACATAAAAGCCATAGATCTACTGGAAAAAGAAGCTTTTCTTTCTTCCTAAGAAGTTGATAAACAATAGGGCTAAGATGCTAAAATACAAAGAAAAATGAAAATAAAAGGGAATAAGAACACACCATGAGTCTGTTAGCCTCAAACATCTTCCTGAGTGAATAGGCGAATCAAAAGCTAAGATGATCAAAATCCCAAAAAGTTACAACCCATAAACACAAAGTTAGGAACTTTTTTGAAAAGGAAAGATTATTCTATGTTATTTTTGTCTTTCTAGAAAGGACTGCATCAAGAACTAAAAGTAAGCTCTTCCTTTTACATTTTGAGAGACTACTTCTTTTCAATCTTTCATGTAAGGAATATGCTTAGAACATTTTCATGATATATAATCTTACAAATTTGATTATAACATAATCTGTCACGTTGGATCACTCCTTGGATTAGATGGAAAAAAGCACATGCTTTCTGATGATGAAATATGATCAAGCCAGTCTCTATCTTCGTGTTCTTTCATACCATAGTTTCACACAACTTCTTCACTACACCAAGTATATATGTGTTCTTACCGCTTTACAATTCTCTTCTTCTCACCCTCTATAACTTGTTTGCCATCATTTCAACAAATGGAACATATTTTTCTCTCCTGTTCTTTGCCTTCAAAGTCGTTGATTATTTTTTTCTTTCATCTCCAAGGTTCATTCTTTTATTTTGGCAACATGAACAGTAGTGATTTTCTCCATCATTTTTTCTAACACTCCGATCATCTGGTACTCATATTATCAGGAAAAATAGAAAATTGAAGGCATATAGAATATCTCTACAAATCAGCAATTTATGTGTTCTCCCTTTTTTCATATAAAATTCTGAAGCAAGAAGAGAGTTATAATGGGATTCCAAGTATCCCATTTGTGTATAGCAAATGAAATTAATATTTCTTTGAACTTGGGTCTCAAATTTAGGAATGCTAAAACCATTTGCTGAGAATTACAAATTTACGATAAGAAGCATTTTTATTAGGAATCTAAACTCTACAAAAGCGTTGTACAAAGTAAAATATGTAAAAGTATCTTATTTGTTTCTACTTAAAAGCATATCTTCAGTTGTAGGTGGTGGTTGATGTAACTCCATTATGTGTTTTTTATATGCGGGAGAAAGAAGAGGAAGAGAGGGAGACATTACCAACACATATTTTTGGGGCTGAAATCTTTAGCAGCTACTTGTTCCCGGTAGCTCTTACGCCTTTCATTGAAGAGCTACAATGGAAAAGAATCCAAATAAAAGCATAACACACTCTAGCAAAGTCACCATTCAAAGGCCATGAATTGCTATGAAACTTAATATCAGCAGCATCAACTTTCACCATTCTTAACCGCTGATATAAATAGTCGCAAAGCCATCTTACCATTTAAATCGTTATACAACTATTAACATGAGACATTTGTCACCATTTAAGAAAATCAAATTCTGATTGAAGTGATACTTTAGGATAATTCAACACAATACATACTGCACATAAGCCGCTGGAATATTGCAAATGCCCGTTTTATCCTTTTTTCAGAAGAAGTTTTATATAAATTTTGCTGTAGTAATATTTAGAAGTTGTTTCCCTTGTTTAGACAACGTGAAAGCTAAATGAAAAAAACTTAATTAGTTGAAAATCAAGTCATAATTAATGGGTTACATATGAAATTGTGCCCCAAACACGAAAGTAAAAAGAGACAACTAATATTTCAGACACATTATGTAACATGATTATATGTGTATATCGATATCCTTTTGACTTTAAGGTCGAGTGTACATATATTTAGTATTTACAGGAACAAAGGCACATAGCATCTAGAAAAAAGTCTTGGCCAAACCGATGTCAACTTGTAAACCTTAATACTAAGCTTCCTCTTTGATACTCACCAACTCCAAAAGATAAAGACATGAGGCCATCTTACAAACTTTTTAAAGGACTTCTTAAATCGATCCTTGAAACTCATGCAACTTTTCTTAAAATTTAGCTATTAAGAAATGCCCTTCTGACCTGCCAATATTTATAATGCACAATATTAGTATTATAGTAGACCCTGTTGATGGATCTAAAACTATCACTCTTTGTAGCATCAGAAGGGGAAAACATAACAACGAAGGAAAAAGAAAGCTTGACGACTCTGTAGAATTAGACATTACCATAAGATTTCCACCCATAAAATCCTTTGAGAGGTGTATATCTGAAGAAAGAGTTGCTAGCTATGCATACAAATTTTATGGAGGCAACTTTTTACCTATTTCAAATTACAAAAACTTAAAGTAGAAGAATAGCATACCTCAAGGTAAATGAACAATAGGAGTTTCTAGAGTGACATCTGTAGGTCCTCCTCATAATAGAAGAGGGAATAGTGAATTGCTCAGCACCATAACAACGAATAAGTGAAATATTTCATCTAAAAAATAAACACAATTTTAAGAATAGTAGTTAAAATCAGAAAGCACAAATGGGTAGGATTACCTTTGGTGCCAACTGTTGAAGGGGAGAACCCAGACTTGATCATAGACAGCGTTTATTAAAACCTGGAAAGAACGCTTCAACGTGAGAATTAGCCAATAAGTGCTTACGTTAATCAAATCAGTTAGACAAACTTGAACAACAAAGTTGCAATCTGAAAGTTAAAATATAATAATACAATTACCAACAACATCTAATCTCCTCCAGTGCTTTATAAAGCTAAAATATTTAACAAAATTGCATAATTGGAACAATGGGGACAGAAAAGGGAATTGTCAAATGGAAGATGGAAAAGGAAAATCAGGAAAAAGCGAATAAGGGACAGTTATAGTTGCTTACAATCTGCTTACAATATTGCTGCTGTGCAACTTATTTACGTTAGTTTTTGTAACAAATAAAAATCCAAAGAAGTAATCAGAAAACATATATAAAATACCTTTACATCTTGAAGAACCAATTCAATCGACAATATATTTTCGGGATTAAAACGATCGGGTACTTCCCACAAACGGACAACACGAACTTTTAACTTCCTAATTCACAATATTATTGTGTTAGTACATTAGATATATTCTCTTCTTTTGTTCTATCAGCTGTTGACATTGATAATACAATGTAAGGATTACCAATCTACTATCCATACCATCACGTTGCAATTGATCTGCAACATCAGTAGATCTCTTGTTATCCATCTCTTCTTCTGTGAGAACTTACCCTACAATACAAAAAATAAATTACTAAGTGTCATCTGAAAAACAATAGTAATTTTTATAAGAGGGTTGTTTATATATATATATTTTTATCTCAGTGATGATCATTTGGGGTTGTCTTATTAAAGTGAAAATGGCAGGCAATGTGAAGATTAACTTGCCTTCTATTACTGTAATATGCTTGTGCATCATTAAGAACATAACCAAATTGATCCTTGTGCACCATTAAGAACATTCTCAAAGCGGATGACTTCCACATCTGACAAAGACCAGCAAATTCTTTTGTTGCATCTACGTATAAATTTTTGTACCCACTGATACTTGGTTAACAGAAACAATGACAGCATGACTCCTACTTTTTTTTAATCAACTACTGATTTTAACTACAGTAATGAGAGCAACTAATAAGGGGAATGGCAGGTGGCACACTAAAACAGAATGACCATAAAGGCGACTTTGTTTCTGTACATAGCTGTGCCGTAAAATAACCACCGTTCATTAAAATATATGTCTTTGATTAAAATAGCACATGTATCTTAGAAATCATATATGCCCTTCTTTGAAAAGTTGATAGCAATATAATATGCCAAGGCAATCTGTTTATATATATAT